ACGCCGGAAACAAACGTGGCGCCAGCAGCGGCTTCCAGCGAACGCTACCCCGCAAGGGCTGGGCTGCGCTGCACCGACGCCACCGGAAAGCGAAGGCCCCGCGCCCGGCTCAAGGGCCCCCAGCGGCAGGCCTCGGACAACATGCACACACGGGCTCGCACCTACGGGGCGGCCTGCGAGTCTGAAGCTTTCCGTGTTGGTTCGGTCACTGAAGGAAAACAAAGCACTCAGTGCTGACAGGCCTTTCTTTTCGTGAGTCGGAGTCTCACTCGGTCGCCCAGACTGGAGGGCAGCGCCGCTCCGGCCACCGCAGCCTCGACCTGCCGGGCCCCGGCGATCCTTCCGCCCCAGCCTTCCCAGTCGCCGGAACGACAGGCGCGCGCTACCACGCCCGGCTGATCTTTTGATTGATTGTAGAGGTGAGGTCTCGCCAAGTTGCCCAGGCGGGTCTCGAACCCACGGGCTCAGGAATCCACTCACCTCAGCCTCCCAAAGGCGCGGGATGACAGGCTGAGCCACCGAGCCCGGCTTTTTTTTTTTTAGAGATGGGATCTCGCCATGTTGCCGAGGCAGGCCTCAAACGACTCTCCCACCTCAGCCTCCTGAGTAGCTGAGACGACAGGTGCGCAACTACCTCACTTGGCGTTGACGCAACTGCTTTTGTTATTGTTGTTTTTGAGTCAGCGTCTCACTCTGTCACCCAAGCTGGAGTGCAGTGGTATGTTCATGGATCACCACAGCCTCCACCTCCTGGGTTCAAGCAATCCTCCTGCCTCAGCCTCCCAAGTAGCTAGGGCTACTGGCGTGCACATTCACAGTTTAATTTTTTTTTTTTTACTTTCTTTGTAGAGACAAGATCTCTCTCACTACGTTGCCCAGGTTGGTTTTGAAATACTGGGCTCAAGCAGTCCTCCCACCTCAGCCTCCCAAAATGCTGGGATTACAGGGGTGAGCCACCGTGCCAGCCCACTTAACTTTCAAATGCAAAAGTCCTTCTCTTCTTTTGTCAAACGACAGTTACTCCAATAATATAGATTACAAATAAATTCTAAAACTTAAAATGTCCCAGACATCATTCTATACTCCTCACAATTAGTCACCACAAGCTCTGCTTTAAAAATAAATGGCAGGCCGGGCTTGGTGGCTCAGCCTGTAATCCCAGCACTTTGGGAGGCCGAAGTGAGTGGACTGCCTGAGCCTGTGGGTTCGAGACCTGCCTGGGCAACTTGACGAGACCTCATCTCTACCATAAATCAAAAAAAATTAGCCAGGCATGGTAGTGTGCGCTTGTAGTTCCAGCTACTTGGAAGGCTGAGGCGGAAGGATCACCAGAGCCCAGCAGGTCGAGGCTGCGGTGGCTGGGAGTGGCCACGGCAGTCCAGTCTGGGTGACAGAGTGAGACTCCAACTCAAAAAAATAAAAATAAAAATAAAATAAATAAATGAATAAATAAATGGCAAAAGTAGGCCACCTGGGCCCCAGCAAGCCATATATCAGCAGCAATGTCGAGTTTTCCAACTGTATACAAGCAAGTTAAAATTTTTAATAATATAGTTGATGTAAAAAAGGTATAAAAACTTCCTTGTGAAGAGAAATCATTAAAAATATTTATGTTTTTGGTTATCAGTGTGAACACCAAAAGAAATTCACACTGAGAAAATTCAGTTTTCTGGCAACTTCTCACCTGTGTAGCCCACCCGACATTTTCCACGAAAACAGATTTCAGAAGTTGTGCCGACTTGGGGAGACCCTCCTCGAGACCGCCGGAAGAGGCGCCTGCTCCCGAAGCTGCAGCTGGAAGACCAAGTCCTTCATCTGCAACCCGCTGCTGACGGTAAAGTACAGGAAGACGTCACTCCTCAGCATTTTGTGAGCCCGATGAGCAAAAGCAGAAAATTACAACCTTTTCATCAGCTTAGGTGATTTTTCAAAAACAAAACATTTTGGATGAAAATATAGCCACATTATTGAAAACCAGAGAAGATGCAGAAAAGAAAAATCACAGAACTGCTGTTTTCATCTTGGTGGCTTTCATCTTTTTTCTCAAGGCACGTTTTTTCATAGCTGTAATCACACACACACACACACACTCACACAGGTGAGTACACACAAACACACCTATTTCTTTAATGCTGCATTTTTCTACACTACTATATAGTCTTCACTGGCATGATAATTCACTAAGTGAACAAATAATACATTTATTTAACCATGAGCCTACTGGATATTTAGGTAGTTCATGATATTTTACATAAAATAAAACAACTGTACATGTAAATGTAAGATTGGCTTCTTCCCAGAGGAGTGATTAGGCCTCCCTGAGGTAACATTTAAACAGAGACCTGAAAGAGGAGGAAGAGTCAGTCACATGAAGTTAAGGGCTGGGAAGAACTCCAGGTCAAGTGCAGCATGCGAAAAGGCCTTTGAGGCCGGGCGCAGTAGCTCGCGTCTATAATCCCAGCACTTTGGGGGACAGAGGTGAGAGGACTGCCTGAGCTCAGGGGTTCCAGATCATCCTGAGCAACATGGCAAGATCTTGTCTGTACAATAAATAAAAGAATTAGTCAGGCGTGGTGGCACATGCCTGTGGTTCCAGCTACTTGGAAGCCTGAGGCAGAAGGATCACCTGAGCCCAGCAAGTTGAGTCTGCAGTGGCCATGAGCGTGCCACTGCCCTCCAGTCTGGGTGACAGTGAGACTGACTCACAAAAAAAAAAAAAAAAGCCTCAAGTCAGAGAGCATACCGTGGTTCAGGAAGAGGCGGGAAAAGGAGGCAGATGAGAGTAAAACCACAGCGGGGCGTTTTAACTTTCCAGCAACACGTGTCGACTTACAGAAGAACCGAGTGTTGATGCCCACACTGGAGGTGCCGCGCTGTCCAGAGCCCATCCTTGCAAAGGTAGCCTCTCTCTCGCTGGGTAGCTGGGATCCACAGGTGGAGGAGGCGACAAGGCCTTGGGTGAACTAGTGCTGCTAGGTTTTCTGAAGGAGAAAAACCCAAGTATATTCCCGTAAAGCTTTTGAGTTACAGAGAAGGAAAGTGTGCCTACAATGTGCTTAGCACACCTGATACATTTCGGCCACACGTTTAGCACCTGCATACATTTACCTTCCTATGATTATTGGGAAAAAGGATGTACTCCTGCTCTTCCTCTCCTCTTCTGAAATGACAGATTCCAGGGCTAAGCAAACACGATGACCCTATTTCAAAAGAAGAGTGCTTTCTGTCATGACGTTACCTGCATCATTATCGGCACAAAAAACTCACCAGTAGGTTTGTACCTCAGCAGCATGGTCCACGTAGGTTTTTATTTCTTCCTTCAAGCTGGTAACTTCACTCTCACTTTTTAAAGTGCAAGACTTCCCAGTCTTTTCAATCACCTGAATGAAATCTTCTGTTTGGTGGATTTTTGCCCCTGAAAAACAAGCAGAAAAGGAGTCACCTGCCATGCCTTTCAATACTGAGACTTATATTGCCATGCAGTACATGAAGGTTCCCACATCAAGGCATCATTCACAGTCATTCACTGACAGCTCATGAGGCTCTCCAGGTATTCAATGATTACAGGCCACCCAGTTTTTCAGCATGTATCTGGTTTAAATCTGATACTTTTATGATTTTTTTTTAAAAAAATCAACGCTCTCATACAAAAACATAACGGAAGGACAGCTATAATTAATTACATGTGTGCCATGTGACGTGTGTGCTTTGTGTCTCTTAAAAGAGGGAGTTTCATGGACTAAAAAAGTAATCACCTTTAGAGAATAGATTTAGGAAAAAAATGATCTGATTCAACACTATCCTTTTTGCTATGTTATAATTCTCATAATTTGGTGGATGTCCATTTGAGTTTCTAATAAGAAATAGGGTACTTTTTTCGTGTGATTTTTGTTTTTGAGTCAGAGTATCACCCTGTCACCCACGCAGGAGTGCAGTGGCACGCTCACAGCCACCACAGTCTTGACCTGCTGGGCTGAGGCGATCCTTCCGCCTCAGCCTTCTAAATAGCTAGAACCACAGGCGTGAGCCACCATGCCCGGCTAATGTTTTTGATTATTGTAGAGATGAGGTCTCACCAAGTTGCCCAGGCTGGTCTTGAACCCCTGGAATCAAGCAATCCTCTCACCTCCACCTCCCAAAGTGCTGGGATTACAGGCATGAGCGACCACGCCCAGCTTCATGTGATTTTTATACCATTAATCTAGATGTAGTTAAAAAGAGGACTAACAGACATAGTATAAATTGTTTACAGGAAGGTATATATCAATTTGGGTTAATATGACTTGACACACGGTATACTTGCTGTGCTATCTGTATATATACACATCTTTAAAACTTGCTGTGTTGAATAAATACACACACACTCCCCTACTAAACTACAAAGTAATGGAAAAAATTACCATTTCTAAATGGTACTCACCATCATAAAACCAAACCTCGAAATCAGCACCAGGAGAATTCTCCATCAAAACGCATTTGGCATATCTTGTAAAATAAGTGATTTTGGGAGATTTAGATCTTACGAGCTCTACAAACCTGGAAGCATACTGATATTTTCGCCAGTACTTTTCTAAGGGGAAAAAAGGGGAAAAAATTAACGTTTGAAAAGAAAGTATTGTCTTGACAAATCTGTTGCGATTTCTAATAGGGTTAGGCTAGATAGGTCTCTTGTTTGTTTCTAAAAGTCACCTCAGTGAAGTCTTCCCATTTAGTACTCTGTTCCCAATCCATCAGATCCAGAAACTGAACTGGGAGTCAAATTTGGTTAACCACAATGATGAATGACCTTTTTATTTATTTATTTGTTCATTTATTTTTGAGTCAGTCTCACTCTTTCACCCAGGCTGGAGTGCAGCAACATCACAGCTCATGGCCGCCTCAGCCTCTTGGGCTTAGGCAATCCTCCCACCACAGCTTTGCAAGTAGCTGGGACTACAGGCACGTGCCACCATGTATGCCCAATTATTTTATTTTTTGTAGAGATAGGGGTCTCACTATGTTGCCCAGGTTGGTCTTGAACTCGTGGGCTCAGGCAGCCCTCCTGCCTTTGCCTCCCAAAGTGCTGGGATGACAGGCATGAGCTACCGTGCCTCAGTGACCATTTATGCAGTGCAGCAATGATTTCCAAGGTAAAAAACTAAATCGTTCATGTAGAACTGAAAACATTTTCTGTTGTATACAGAGCGCTTCACAAACTTGGCTGTCCCCTCTGCGCAGGGCCATGCTAACCTTTCCTGTGTTGCTCCAATTTCAGTGTACGTGCTGCCCCAGTGAGCACAATGCTGAGTTTACTAACATGGCTCCAGCCAAGTCTAAACACGAGCACAGATTATGTGTCACAGAGGACTAACGTTCCTGTTAGTTTTTACTTAAGTAAGGAGAAACTAACTCACCAAACTCAGCAGGTAAAAAGCACGAGAAAATACCCTGCAGCCTGACGGAAGCCAAGACATTTACAATCCATCATATCCACATGCAGATCATGCATATGTATAAATCTACTGCAAAAGAGGATTGCCTGGTAAATGTACAGACCTGGTAGGTTGTCAAAGCTGTACCTACTGATGCTGCCAGTAGGTGAGGGCGGCCTGTCGGCAAGAGGAAGCCCTCTCCCGTCATGTGGGTAATAGACAGTGACCTGCCGAAGAGAGGGTTGGAGTTCCGATTACATGCCATTAACGTTAGAGCATGCTAGCTGTCACCAAAACACAGAGTTCAAATGTAACATGATATTATAGGACAATGCTAAATATTCTGTCAAAGACATTTTTTGCATCTTAAGCTTAAGACAAAAGTTTAGTTTTTGCTACTAGTTAAAATGACTTAACACTACAAGAACTTATTTAAATGAGTCTAGTATGCGTGATTTGCAGCGGCAGGAGAACAGGTGCGCCCACGTTACCGCATCTCCGTCCCTGGATATCTGCAGGACCTCCTTCACGTACTCCTGACACGCATGCTCCTTCAGCAGCTCCACACACACCTCCTCTGACTCAAGGATGCTCACCTGAAGAAAGAATGTCAGGTCACCATCCTCATTTACTAGTGCAGCTCTGACACACACAATACTTAAGAGAAAGTACTTAACCATAGCAGTTGAAGTCAGAATCAAATAGCCGCTTCACGGCCCAGACCACAGGTGTATTTGAGCACAACTGCGACCCAGGTGGCGAGGAGGTACGGATGTGTCTGTGTCGTGAAGTGAGCAGAAAGCAAGCAGAAGGTGGGGTGGGAAGAAGGGTTGCCAGTGACAATAGCAAGCCAGACAAAGGGAGGATGAAGTGGCAAGTGAAATGGCAGCCAGGCCCAGGGTGGAGACAGAATTAAAGACAAGCATCCCTCCCAAATTCTATCCCTTCCAAATTAAACTCTAAGCTTAAGTGAGCATCTTCCTTTTCTTTAAATAGTTTCAGATACTAAAAAAACCAAAAGCTTCATTTTCTCATTTACTTTTGAGACTCGATTCAATGTAGAAACAAGAAAAATAAAAGCAACGGGGTAACATCAAAAATGAATTCACTGACTAGAACTATGGATGAAATAATATTTAACACAGCACATAGACAGTATTATTTTTTTAAAGTTTTTCATTCACATCTACTTTATTTAAATTAATACAAAATTAAAAACTTAGTATTCAATTCACTTTTTTTTAGTGGATCTCACTCTCTTATCCAGGTTGGAGTGCGGTGGCACAATCACAGTTCACTGCAGTCTCCTAGGCTCAGGAGTTCCTTCCATCTCAGCCTCCTGGGTAGCTGGGACTACAGGTATGCACTACCATGTCCGGCTGATTTTTAAACTTTTTGTAGAGACGAGGTCTCACTACACTGCCCAGGTTGGTCTCAACCTCCTGGGCTCAAGCAATCCTCTCAAATTCGGGCACAGTGGCTCACTCCTGGAGTCCCAGCACTTTGGGAGGTGGAGGCAAGAGGACTGCCTGAGCCCAGGCGTTTGAGACCAGGCTGGGCAACTTGGTGAGACCTCATCTCTACAATAAGTCAAGAAAAATTAGCCAGGCATGGAGGCGTGTGCTTGTAGTTCCAGCTACTTGGAAGGTTGTGGTGGAAGAATCGTCTGAGCCCAGCAAGCCAAGGCTGCAGTGGCTGCGAGTGTGCCACTGCACTCCAGTCTGGGCGACAGAGTAAGACTCTGATTCAATAAAAAAAAAAAGGGGGGGGGGGAATGGGCTATTTTTCCATAAAGACCTCAGTTTCTTTTCTCTTTAATAAGTTTACCGTGTACAGAGACATTATAGAAACCAAAACATATCTCAAGAACTGGATTCTCACAAAAAAGTATCAGACAGGATTTAGGAAAATAGTTGACATACCACAGCCTTCTTGGTTTTCTGTCTGATTGGTTTTAACCTGTGAGCAATCAAAGGAGACGTGATGCTTCGTAATGTCCGTTTCTGATAATCCAGCGGTGGCTCCACACCCCTAGTCTTGCTCGCCTCAGAAAAAGGATCCAGGCCAAAAACAGATTCCTGTTGCATCATCTCAGGTTGACTGTGAAATGCAGTCCTGTGCTTCCCGGCATTCAGCTGCTTTACAGAATACGCATCATCAGAAGCATCGGAATTCTTTTTGGCTTTTACACCGGTCCAGGCATTCCTTAATGTGCCCTTCTGCACATCTGCAGGGCCCTGGAAATCCTGGTTTGGGTTGAGGCTGTTGTATTCAGTAGTTTCTCTTAAATGAGCTAGGATATATATAAAGTCATTTGGTAAATAACTAAAAAGCCAAGTTGACACAAAACAATGTCATGCTGGCTATAACAGCATTTTTTTTTTTTTTGAGTTGGAGTCTCACTCTGTCGCCCAGACTGGAGTGCAGTGGCCGCTCCCGGCCACCGCAGCCTCGACCTGCTGGGCTCTGGCGATCCTTCCGCCTCAGCCTTCCAAGTAGCCGGAATTACAGGCGCGTGCTACCACGCCCAGCTAATTTTTTGATTTATTGTAGAGATGAGGTCTCGCTGCCCAGGTGGGTCTCGAACCCGCAGGCTCAGGCAATCCACTCACCTCAGCCTCCCAAAGGCGCGGGATTACAGGCTGAGCCACCGAGCCCGGCTGCATTTTTTTAAATAAAAGAAAACGAGTAAAAAAAAAAAAATAGGCTGGGCACAGTGGCTCACGCCTATAATCCCAGCACTTTGGGAGGCTGAGGTAAGAGGGTTGCCTGAGCCCACGGGTTTCAGATCAGTCTGGGCAACTTGGTGAGACCTCATCTCTACAATAAATAAAAAAATTAGCCAGACATGGTGGCACATGCCTGTAGTTCCAGCTATGTGGAAGGCTGAGGCGGAAGGATCGCCTAAGCCCAGCAGGTCGAGGCTGCGGTGGCCGCGAGTGTGCCACTGCTGTCCAGCCTGGGCGATAGAGTGAGACACTGACTCAAAAAAACCAACAAAACTTAAGAGCACCTAATCTTTTTAACAAATAAGCAGTATAAAATATTACATAATAAAAGAGTAACTGTAAAAGGACCTTTTAAGCCAGATCTCAAAGGAATGCCTCTAGCATTTCTAAGACAGAAAAGAAATTAATATAAAATCAGTTTTCCAATCAAACCAAGAATTCGTCACCATAGGGTCACCTACTAATTCTCAAGCAAGAAACAACCAATATAAAAGCAGATCTGAGTGCCCAGGTAATCATTCTACTAAAGAAAAATATGTAAATGTACTCTCCTTAAGGTAAGGACTGTCTAACCCATCTTAAAAATATGCAACTAAGGCTGGGCACGGTAGCTCAAGCCTGTAATCCCAGCACTTTGGCAGGCCAAAGTGAGAGGACTGTCTGAGTCCACGGGTTCGAGACCAGCCTGGGCAACTTGTGAGACCTCGTCTCTACAACAAATCAAAAAATCAGCCGGAGCGTGGTGGCATACACCTGTAGTTCCAGCTGAGGTGGAGGCTGAGGTGGAAGGATCACCTGTGCCCAGCAGGTCAAGGCTGTAGTGGCTGTGAGCACGCTACTGCACTCCAGCCTGGTTGACAGAGTGAGATTCCGATTCAAAAAATAAAATAAAATGCAATTAAAAGCAAAGACACTATATGAATAGCTTTAATATTAAATATTACACATGTATTTGCACCCACAGCTTTTAAAAGTTCTTATTGAACTTTACCGGTTTATATTTCATACAGCTTTAAAGTTCATATAGGAATATTGTCTCCTAGAGGCCTTAAATGATAAAATTATAGAAAACTTTGACAATTTTTCCATGCTATTACACTTTTATCTTAAGCGACTTTTTAGTGCTCTTTTCCCTACTTCCGTTATGACAGAAAATACTTTGTGCTGCATAATATACTTAAAAATTGCCATAGCACTATTGGATTATTATAAATAAGGTTATTTCTCCATCTCAGACTAGTCCATGTTACTAAATAAACACAACAGATGTGCGAGACTAAAGCACATGGCAGTCTCATAGTGTAAAAAATCAAAGCTGAATTATGTCTTCCATAAGCACCGACGAAAAGATTAATTCCCTTTTGTGCTTCTGAAAACAAAAGACTTTGTTTTTAAAGAAAAGAGACTCTTGAAATGCCATCTGCTTGGATTACAGTCATATGATTCACTCTCTGTCTGTGGGGTAACACAATCTTCCATGGAAAACGATCTCCTCCTCTCCGTATGTTTCCTTCCTATTCTCCTTTTCTCATAATTTCCCAGCCTACCCTCTGTGGATCAGTCATGTTCATTAATGAGGAACGTTTAACCTGCAAACTCTGTACCTACAAATAAAATGACGACTTGGATGACAGCTGTGGAAAATGGTGAGGTTTTGAGCCCCGCTTTTGTTAAGCCATGCTTTCCCCAAGCTTTGGCCCCCCCCCCTCCCTTGGGGAGGAGAATCTCCTCTCTCTCATCTACTTTCTAAACAAACTATTTTCCCCTCTAAAAAAAGTGTTCTGCTTGTAGTAGCTGTCTATCTTAGCGTGCAGTCCCGCTGGTCGACTATAATGCCCATAATTAGCACCTGCCCGCAAATGAGGGTAACCGCCTTCTGCTTATTCCATGGGCACCGAGAGCAGGTGCGTCCTGTCGAGAGGCTGCGCGCGCAAGGCCTCAGAGCCGGCCGGCCTGGACCGGAATCCTGCCTCCTCGCTGAAAGGCGGCGTCACCGGGCGAGTGGAGCTCCGCACCCAGCCTCAGCCTCCGGAACGTGGGGCCGAGCGCAGGTCTTCCTCTTACATTTTCTCGCGAGAACTTAGTCAGCTACTATGTTCAATATTAAGGACAGTGGTTGACCGCAATAAATATTCCAAGTGTGTGAACAGTGATTTTTACTATTGAAGACTATTATCTTTTCTTAAGAAAACTCAAATAGAAAACGGCAATGATTGGTAAGTGTCCAAATAATTTTTGATGAAATATTCCATGAAAACTCACCATTTATTTGCATATTCCCAAACCACTGTTGCACCATTTCGGTCTCAGGTGTCTGGTCTGAAAATGGAAAAGGAGTTTTTCCTGGACAAAGATGATTGGAGCTAAACAAACAAACAAACAAACAAACCCATAAGCCAATAAAAATGATCAGGTAACTTCTAAGATAAAATATTAGAAGAAAAGGAAGACTTCTTCTGATATGAATGTCTAAGCATTTTGGAATAACTGCAAAAAACAATATCTACATAACTAAATCATATCCAAAAAGCTAAACTCCCATGCCAACATGGCATTTAGACAGTGCTTCTCTGTGGCTAATGCCCTCTTATAATTTAGGCATAGAAATATAGGGCAACCCTTTTGGGTCCCTTCCCACTGTGGGAGCTTTTCTGTCCTCTCAATAAATCCTGCTTTCTCACTTACAAAAAAGAAAAAAAGAAATATGGCCCCCTATCCTACCTTGGGGAGGCTAATCTCCCCTCCCTCTCTAGTTTACTTTCTAAATAAACTATATTTTCTAATATAAAAAAGTAGAATCATAAAATGATCAGAAAAAGAAAAAAATAAGCACTCCAGTCGCTAAAAATTAGTTTTCACGTCAGAAGCAGCCACTAGCCCAGGGATTCACCGCTCAGGCTCAGCTTCTCTGTCTACGTGTGCAGCTATCACCAGAGCACTCCAGGGTCAGCCATGGGTAAAGCATGGCGCTTGGTACTAGGTACCCGCTTCATATAAAATTAAAAACAAAACTAAAAATTCCAAGTCTTAAGCACATGCTACGAATACATTCATGAACACAAATACTCCTTTTTAAAAGAGAGTCTTATCCACAGTTCAAAGTCCTTATTCTAGTTTTCTCCCAAATAAGCAAAGAAAACGGCTGAGAAGGCCCCCAGGAGCATCCGGCAGTGTTTCTGAAAAAGACCTTCGCCGCCCTGGTAGCCCTTAGCTGCAGTTGCGTATCAGCACTAGCACAGTGTTTACCAGAAAATGAAAGGCTTTGGATAGAATCATGCTTACAGGGCTTGATTGTTATCAGGTCTTTCAAAAAATCCAGAACTACCAGGCGCCTTTTCTTTAAAGAAGTTAAAAACATTGTCACTGCTGTTTGTGGGCGAGTATCTCTCTTCATTTTCGTCCACTCCTGATCTTTTGGGCTTTGAAAGCACTTCTGTTGAGTGACACCGCTCCATCGTGGACCTCTTTGCTCCAGCTGGACCACTGGAAGCGCCGGACCTATCGGCAGAGTGGGCTCTGCGCAGGTAGCGCGACCGGGGCCTTTCTTCTGCGTCTGAGGTCACTCTTCCCCTCCCGCTGCTGCTGGCTTCTTGATTTCCCCACGTAGTATAAAAACTGCTTCCATCTCCTGAAGAAGAGAAGTCACTTGAATTTTTGTTCTTTGGAAATACAGTCATTTTATTTGGGAGTGGCTGACCAATCAAAAGTTTCCTTCTGTCAAACAAACTACCACTTATACTGGTACTGGATGAAGCCGTGATTGCAGTAGAAATTGTGGCATGCCCACTATCCATCGAATCTTCCACAGTTCCTACATCTCTACTTTTTGTTGAAGAATTTCGGGACATAAAAGGATGGTCCAATACAGAAGACAGACTTAAACGATCAGCTGGATTTCTACGAAGTAACTGGTGAATAAGGTCCTTGGCCTCTATTGACAAAAAGGTTGGCATTTCATAATCTGCCAGTACTACTTTATTCAATGTGTTCTTGACTGTGTCTGTGTCAAAAGGTGGTCTCCCTATAAGTAATGTATAAAACATACAGCCCAAGGACCAAACATCGGATTCGAGTCCATGTGCGCTTCGAGTTGCAATTTCTGGTGAAATGTAATTAGGCGTTCCACATAGCGTATAGTGCTTCTCGTGTGGCATCTTCAGCTGTGTTGCCAGCCCAAAATCAGCAATCTTGATGTTCATATGACGAGTAAGTAGGAGGTTAGAAAGTGTCAGGTCTCGGTGCAATATACCATGAGAGTGAAGATACAGCATCCCTGTGGTGATCTGGTGCATAAAGTGTCGAGCTGTGAGGATGCAAAACACAGAACCCACAATTCAGAAAATCTGCAGGATGCAGTTTGTGGATATGTTATGAAACCCAGGTACCTATGCTAAAGAATTACATTAGGATACTGGCTTGTAGCTTAACTTTACTAGGCAAAATGCTGCTGTGATGCCATAATATTGTTGAATTCCCTTTAAGAACCCTGGCGACTCCTTTTAAGCTTTGTCCTTTCCAACTGATGAGCTTTCTACATGTAGTTAGGGGAAGCTTAAGTTTTTTGTTTTTTAGCAATTAGGAGTCATTAGGGTAACTAATAACCAGAAGTCCACAGCAATTAAGAAAGCAATTATTTGTAATTGCACAAACAATTCATAAACATATTCTAAGTATAAAAAAGAAAAGCTAAAGTTCCTCTGATGGCTCTCAAACTCTCCCAAGAAATCACTGCCAACTGTTTGTATATTTTTTAACACTTTTTTCTGCATGCTTACATACATTTAAATCTACAGAGATACACTGTATTAACTGCTTTTTTAAATATAAAAATGGCAGTTGAGGGAAACTGCTAGGGGAGGGAGGGGCACACCACATCAACAAGGGTACTTGCATAATCAACGTCTGTATACCTAACCCTGAATTGTATACCCCACATCTTTAAAATTAAAAAATATATAAAAACTACATCACAAATATATAATTTATTATTTTTCCTACTTCGCAATGTTTCTTAGAGACATTTCTATGTCAACACCATAGATCTTTTTTTTTGAGATGGAATCTCACTATGTTGCCCAGGCTGGAATGCAGTGGTGCGCTCTTGGCCACCACAGACTCGACCTGCTGGGCTCAGGCAATCCTTCCACCTCAGCCTTCCAAGTAGCCGGAACTACAAGTGCGCGCTACCATGCCCAGCTAATTTCTTAAACATTTTTATTGCAGAGATGAGGTCTTGCCAACCCCTGGGCTCAGGCATTCTCTCCCAAAGTGCTGGGATTATGGCCTCCCAAAGTGCTGGGATTACAGGCTTGAGTCACCATGCCCAGTCAGTACCATAGATCTTTATTTTACCTGGGCCATTTCTGAAATTTCAAGATTACAAAGGCTGGGTTCGATGGCTCAGCCTGTAATCCTAGCACTTGGGGAGGCAGAGGTGAGTGGATTGCCTGAGCCCACCAGTTTGAGATCAGCCCAGGCAATTTAGCGAGATCTCGTCTCTACAATAAATCAAAAGTTAGCCAGGCATGGTAGTGAGTGCCTGTGTGCCTGTAGTTCCGGCTACTTGGAAGGCTGAGGTGGAAGGATCGCCGGAGCCTGGCAGGTTGACGCTGGGGTGGACATGAGTGTGCCACTGCACTCCAGCCTCGGAGACAGAGCGAGACTCCAACTCAAAAAAAAAAAAATTACAAAAAATATAAGTCTTCTTGTTTTCTTGAATATGTATGCATGTGTTGCTTGTCTACAGTAGGTTCAAGATGTAGAATCGCTGGGTTGAAGGATAGGAAAATTCGGTATTTTCACACCTTGCCAAATCACCCTTGGAAAGGTTGTATTTTCATGCACATCCTTGTTAACATTAAGTAGTTTCAATTCAATGAATAAAAACACGGGACTCATCATTTTGGTTAGCATTCTCATGACCACCCTGGGCTGAAGCATCTTTTCATAAGTTTATTGACCATTGGCATTTTCTCTTCTGAGGACAGTCTGTTCATATTCCTTGTCCATTTTTCTATTCAATTATCTTTTCTCTTTAGGCGTACCTTATATCTTTGAATACAGTATTAATTTTCCAGTCATATATTCTGCAAATATTTTCTTCCTATCCTTGTTGAAAATATCTTTTGTTATATAAAATTTTAAATTTTAATTAGGTCAAATTGACAATTTTTTTCCTTTATAGTGTTCGCAGGTCCTGTCTTATTTAGTAAGGCCTTTTTTATTGTAAAGTATTTTGAAAAATACAGTAGTCATCGATATGCATATACATTTTTTTCCAATTCAAATTATCCTTTTGAAATAAACTTTCAACAATGGAATTTGAGTCAAAAGATGAATATTTCTTTAATTTTTTTTCTTTTTAGTTGGACTCTCACTCTGTGCTCAGGCTGGAGTGCATGGCACATTAATGTCCACCCCAGTGTTGCTGGGCTCCGACGATCCTTCTGCCTTGGTCTTCCAGGTAGCCAGAACTAAAGGAATGCACTACCACACCCGGCTAAGTTTTGATTTATTGTAGAGACGAGGTCTCACCAACTTGCCCGGGCTGGTCTCTAACTGGTGGGCTCAGGCAATCCACCAAGCCTGGCCCACTTCTATAATTCTTAATAGATATGACCAAACTGTTTTCCAGTTGAGTTACATAGATTCAAATGTACAAAAACCTATCAGCAACCACCTTTCTAAGCTTAGCTGTGTCTCAGCAGGACAAGACAACTGGAAAACAACTGGGGCCAGGCTTGCTGGCTCAGCCTGTAATCCTAGCACTTTGGAAGGCCGAGGCAAGTAGATTGCCTGAGTCCACAGGTTTGAGACCAGCTCGGGCAACTTGGCAAGACCTCGTCTCTACAATAAAAAATTAGTCAGGCATGGTAACATGCGTCTGCATTTCCAGCTACTTGGAGGCTGAGACGGAAGGATCGCTTGAGTTCAGCAGGTCGAGACTGCGGTGGCCGTGAGCGTGTCACTGCACTCCAGCCTAGGCGATGGAGTGAAAATTCAACTCAGAAAAAAGAAAAAGAAAACAATCATTTGTGTGATAATGCATGAATCTTATTTGATTCAAACTGCAAAAAATGAGAAATTGAGGAAGTGTGAAACCGACTATGCATTTGATAGTAAGGAATTACTAGGTGTGATAATAACTTTGTGGTTATATTTTTTAACCACATCTTGAAATATGTTAAAAAGATGTGTATAATTTGCTTCAAACATACTCTGGCAAACCAAGAGAGTAAACAGTGTACAGATAAAACAATTTGGCCACAAAGCAGCAGTTTAAGAAAATGAGTGTTAAGTTCAAGGGGGCTCATTTTCTGACTTTACCTTTATGTTTCACATCTTCTACAACAAATGGTTTCAATGACTATTTGTGCTTGACTTAGAACTACTTTATAGTCATCAATGGCATTCTCAAAAGCTTTTTAGATTTGAAAAGATACATACTAAATTGCTACCAACGATTTAATTTAAAATGTGGTTTTAGCCGGGCTCGGTGGCTCAGCCTGTAATCCTGTGCCTTGAGAGGCTGAGGTGAGTGAATTGCCTGAGCCCGCGGGATCAAGACCCGCCTGGGCAACTTGGTGAGACCTCATCTCTAAATCACAAAAAATTAGCCGGGTGTGGTAGCGCACGCCTGTAGTTCCAGGTACTTGGAAGGCTGAAGCGGAAGGATCGCCGGAGCCCAGCAGGTCGGCTGCGGTGGCTGGGAGCGGCCACTGCGCTCCAGTCTGGGTGACAGAGTGAGACTTCAACTAAAAAAACTTTTAAAATAAATAAATAAATAAATAAATAAAATGTAGTTTTAGGGAGGAAAGAAGGATACATTTTTTACTACTTCTGTAATGCTTGAATTGTTTTAAGAACTAACAGCCTGGGGAGAGAGGAGTAGGACTTTCCTTTTCTAGCCTGATTTAGTAACTGAATGATTTTGCTAAATTTTAACAAAATAGCACATTGGTCAAAGCACATTTCAAAATGCAACATTTGTATCTACCTCCCTCACCCACAAAATAAGCCTACCTTCGTTTTCAGAGAAGGGTTTCCGTCTGTTCTTTAGATACCTGTTCATTTCTCCTTTGTGGCACATCTCCAATACCAGATACACATAATTGCTGTCTTCAAAATAGTTATAAAGCTGAAATGTGAATGGGCATCATAAATTACCACATAGAAAGACTCCATCTCCTTGGCCGCATCTGTGCGCTATGTATGTGTCTCACCTCCAGGATGGAAGGGTGCTTCAGCTGGCAGTGAATCTTCACCTCATTCTGGACTCTCTGCACCATTCCTGCTTTGCACATGGCCTTCTTATCTATCTAAAGAGAATGGAGGAGAAGTTTGAATGTGGATAAACTTTCAGTATGAAATGGTTAAAAGTCAACTTTAAAAACAAAGTATACTCTAATTTGAAATAGCCTGGAGTCCTTCTATCTATATCTTTGAGGTCAACTTACTGTTATCTATTTTCCCCGTGCACCTAGCACATGCTTGGCAAAGTGCACGCTCAGTAAAAGACGGTGTCCACTGTGTCCTCATACTCTCCCTCAATTTAAAGAAACTAACAGCACAACTATTCTATCTACAAGAAAAAAAAAATCAGCCGGGTGCAGTGGCTCATGCCTGTAATCCCAGTACTTTGAAAGATGAAGGAGAGAGAGGACTGCCTGAGACCAGGGGTTCGAGACCCACCTGGGCAACTTGGAGAGACCTCGTCTCTACAATAAATCAAAAATTAGCCAGGTGTGGTGGCGCATGCCTCTGTTTTCTGCTGCTGGAAGACTAAAGTGGAAGAACTGCCTGAGCCCAGCAGGTTCGGGCTGCAGTTGTCATGAGCATGCCCCCTGCACTTCAGCCTAGGTGACAGAGTGAGACTCCAACTTTAAAAAATAAAAATCAAAAAATAAAAAAAAAATCTGAATTTAGTCAAGCTTTAAAACAAAATTTCCCTTCCTTTTCCCAACTAGTTTAGATAAATGATTTTCAGTTTGCTTGTGGTTATGTTACTCTTCTCTTTTTTTCTTTTTTTTTTGAGTTAGAGTCGTCCAGGCTGGAGTACAGTGGCACACTCACCACAGCCACCAGCAGCCTTGACTTGCTTGGACTCAGGTGATCCTTTCACCTCAGCCTTGCAAGTAGCTGGAATTACAGGAGTGTGCTACCACATCCAGCTTATTTTTTGATTTATTGTAGAGACGAGGACTCACCAAGTTGCCTAGGCTGGTCTTGAACACCTGAGCTCAGGCAAGCCTCTCGCCTTGGCCTCCCAAAGTGCTGGGATTACAGGCTTCAGTCATTGTGCCCGGTTGTTTATGTTACGGTCTCCCCCCCAGTTGGAGTCTCACTTTGTTGCCCAGACTGGAGTGCAGTGGCCGCTCCCGGCCACCGCAGCCTTGACCTGCTGGGCTCCGGCGATCCTTCCGCCTCAGCCTTCGGAGTAGCTGGAACTACAGGAGCGTGCTACCACGCCCGGCTGATTTTTGATTTATTGTAGAGATGAGGTCTCACCAAGTTGACAGACTTCTAACAATCAAGAATAATATTTTGGACTGTTACAATGTAACTCAGAACTATACAGTGTATTCTTATTGCTAACAAATTATTTGTTATCTGAGTTCTACGCATTACTTCAAGACTGGCGAAATTACAACATATACCAGGTCTACTGAACATTAAGAAAGATAAGGCACCCACTTAAGCAAGGCCAAGCCTGTCCTGAAACGTCCTTAAGCTCAATTTCTGGACTTGGCACTACTGTCTTCTGCCTATGCTCTGTGTTGTTTACCCCACAATCAAAGAAAAGGCTGGGAGGTGAGGAGCTTCTGGCGTCTCGGACACCTCTCTCGGTACCTGCAAAGTACAGAAGGGAAAGTGACCGGTAATCGATTCTTACCATTTTGATTGCAACTTCCAAACCAGTGTGAATGGACTCAGCTCTGTAGACACCAGCAAACGATCCTTTACCAAGCAGACTTCCAACTTTAAAATCCTTAAAAGTTAAAAGTACAGGTTACACGTGACGGACACACAGTGGAAAGGAAGAGGGGAGAAGGGCTGGGAAAAGAAGAAGGGTCGAGAGGGGAATTCGCGAAACTCAAGCAGGAATTCCACCTCGATGCAGCAGGTGTCTGGGGCGGAAGGCATGTCGACTCCGTGCGGGACCCCGGGGCCTGCCGGCTGGGCTCGCGACGCAGCCCTGGTCACCCGGGCCCTCGGCATCCACGCCCTCCCCCAGCCCATCCAGCCAACCCCTGGGGGCCGAGGGCCGGG